AGTTTTGATAGGTGAAGAAGCGGAGGAAGGCATTCCAGGGTAGAGAAGAGAGCACAAACAAAAGTGCAGAGATGGTAAAGAATAAGGCATTTTGGAAAATGGCAAGTACCGTAGTTCACTGTGGGTGGAGCATCGCCAGAGTTTGCACTGAGAGTGTGGCGAAAATTCAGGTCTCCGAATTCCCAGTAATAGCGCTGGTGGCAGTGTTTGCTCAGTCATTGTCTCTTTTCTCTAAGCGAGGAAAACAGTCCCCAAATTCAAAAATAAAAAAATCCAGCTCCCAAGTTCCTGTCACATCTTGATAATCTCTTCCAGGTCCCAGATCCAGTTCTTGAAAATCTGGAAATCTGGAGTCCACGCCGTGACTACACCGAAGGACATCTGTTCCAGCGAGAGCAGAACGCTGTAGTGAAACACTTTCAACCTCCTATCCTGGACAGCTCATGTTTTGTCACAGAATTTCAAGCTTTGAGTTCCAGTTGTTTTTTTCCTCCTTTCTCCTGAGGAAAGCATCTTATCACCACAGTCTTAAGATTCTTTTGAGGTACATCCAGATTTAATTACAAAAGAGCTAAAAGACCAACACATCTTTCTCCAAAACAGTCACTCCTCTGGAATTGAGATCCTTTGTCTCTGCCCTCTAGGTAAAGGTAATAGTCAATTGATTTTTTTCCCAGATGTTTGTATTAAATAGCAGAACCGGCTAACACCTAACAAACAAAACACTTAAGTGGGTTTGTGTTTGCTTGCTTAGAACTGTACCACTGGTAAGCACCACTCCACAAATTGAAAATGTTTGAAATCCAAGTGTTCAAACATTTCTATAGTGTTTGCTGGATAATGGCCTGGAATTTGATAAAAGCAGCTGACAATTAACAAAGAAGCAAAAACTGGCATTTTGGCCATCTTAGTAACACACTTGCAAGCAAAGAGAATACAAAGCAGGCCAGAAGCAGGGGGGAAAGGTAGGTTTGAAACACTTGCAATCTACTGATTTTGAGGTTCAGCAGACGTTCTAACAAAACTTTTCAGAGAATGTTAACCTTCAATTAATAAAGACAAACCCCCAAACATCTTCAGGAATTCCATGCCTGGTTCAGTTTGTTCCAGTCAGCCAGCTTGCTAAAAATCCACCTGCACCATTAATTAGCTGGACTTGGCAGCACCATTTAAAAATAAGCCTGCTCACTACCAACCACACAAACTAAGAATATAAAATAGGAGCAAGTAACGGATGGCAGCCATGGTCATGGAAAATGGTCAATGAAACAGAAAGGTAGTCAGGCACCAGAAAATAAAAAGTTGTTGGGCCAAAGATTAAACAGGCTTCTTGATACTAGAGAACACATCCACTCCTACTTTTAGCTGCTTTATATTGGGTGCCACTGTACCATATGCGTCAGCCACCTTTCAGGCAACCCATGGTGAAAAGACTCAGAATAGAAGCCAAGCAGTGGAGTGTTCTAACCCCGAATACCCACTATGCATAGAACAGCTCACATATCCCAGGGATTCAACAGGGGCTTCAAATTGGTTGTGACGGGTCCCGAATGACATCTAGGCCTCAGTTTCCTCCTTGTGGCAAGTGAATTGTGGTTCTTAACTCTTCTGGGTCACAGCCCCCTCTGAAAACTTGCTGCCGATGGATCCTCATTCCCCTAAAATACATATTCCCACTAATTTTTGCACACGATTTCAGGGAGTTTGGGAATATCCAACTCCAATCCAAGGTTCCCAGGTTCAAAATCCAAGGATTGGACAATTGCTAAGTTTTCTTACAACTCAAAACAAACAAACAAAAAAGCCAACCATTACGAACAATAATCATCCCTTACATTCACCGACGCTTTATAGTTTACAAAGCGCTTTCAACCCCACAAACGTTGATAGAGGAGGAAACTGAGGCGCAGACAAATTACCAAGTGACTTGCCTAAGGTCACTCGGCCAGCTGGTGGCTAGGCCCGGAAGCAAACCCAGCTCTTCCGACTCCGGAGCTTGTCTCTCCACCCCGGAGCTGCCGCCAGAGCTCCCGCCCCTCACTAAGGCGGCATAAGGAGAAAAAGGCAAAGTAGGAAGCCCACCACCAACCATCCCCCGGCCCCCTCCTGCCCGCCCAAATGGGTCCTTGCAGGCCCCGAAGGGTGGCGCCAGGCCTCCAGGCCGGCCCCGGCCACCCCAGCTTCCCCGGCCGCGCCAAATCCCGCCGCCTCCCCGGGAGCGGGGCGGAGCAGCTGCCCGCCACCGCCGACCACCCGGACGACTCCTCGTCGAATCGCAAACGCATAGGCCGCCGCCCGAGTTCTGCGTACAAGAAGAAAGACGCGGCGCGAGCGCCAACGGCCACCGGGCGCGCGCCGCGGCGGCCGGGCCTGCGCCCCAAGAGCTGGATGCCAGAGCAGGAGAAAGAGCCGCCAACCGATCGCTCGATCGACCGCGCGCCCGCTCCTTCGCCCTACCAGACCGGGAAGGGGGGGAGGGCGCGCCAGGGCTTCTTCGAGTTAGGGGCCTGACTCCCCGGCGACGAGACAAGATGGCTCCTCCGGTCCGCGCCGCAGCTGCCGTCCCGGCTGCGTCGCTCGGCCCGCCCCCGGTACTGTTTCTTTAAATGGCGGAGAGGGTCAAGAAAGCAGGAAGAGAGGCGCGCGCACTCACGTGACAGGGGAGTGCCCGGCTAACAAAATCCGGTCACGTGGAGACACGCTACCCACCAATCAGGAGGCTTCGCATCAGGGCGGGGGCGGGAGGAGGGGCGGCTCTGTGATTGGCCGAGTGCGCCGCGGAGGCCTCGGGGGCTTGGGGCGTCGGGGAGTGCGCGAGGCGGCCCGGGTTGTGTGCACTGGCGGAGACAAAGCGGTGGCTGAGGTGGCAGAGGCGGCAGCGGCAGCGGCGGCGGAGCAGCCCTAAACGCCGAAGTTTGTGGTGCTGAGTCCAATCACCATCTCATCCAAAGCGGCGCGCGGGCGGCTGGTTTCGCGGCGGCGGCGGCAGCGGCGGAGGCGGAGGCGGCGGCAGCACATGGTTCCAAGAGCGCGCTGCGGTTGTTGGGTTCCAATTCCGTGGGGAGGGACAAAGGCAGCTGTGAGCGCCGGGCAACGCCCGGTCGGGTGGTGCGCTCGCCACTGTCCTCGATCCGGGCCTTGAAAGCTGGGACTAACTCCTCCGTGAGGAGGAGACCACGGGACCGAGGCCCAGTCAGGGCCTTAGAGGCTGAGGCCGGTGTCTGAGGGAAGTGGGGGAGGGGCGCGGCCCGCCTGAGTTAATTTGGGCGGGTCAATTCTGTGGCTACTTAGTGGGTCATTGTGAGGTAATTTGACCCACTACCCTGACGAAATTGGGGCACACAGCAAGCTAGGTTTGGTCCGGGCTTTGAAAACAGAAATCGGTCTTCAGCGCTTAGGAGATCTTTCAGTTAGGAAGTGGTGAAGCCGGAACTAACGCCATATGCACTTCATCAACATCGTGGTCACCAGTCTGGGGCTAATTTAAGGATCCTGGGATCATTGATGGCGAAGACATGGGTGGTTGTCCAGTTTTATGACTGAAGTTGCTAAATTTCCGGATTGGTAAATTTCCTCACAGGAAATTTAGAGGAACAACAAAAAAAAGGCTCGAAGAACATGAAGATGGAGCAGTAATTGAAACACCAACTCCAGTATCATCTACTCAAGGACCAACCACATTCCACTCCGTGAACTGTCGCAAATTAACGCTGAAGCTCCTTAAGACTACACGTTTATGACGTAGTTCCAAGATATTACATCATAGTCATTGAGAAGATTAAAAAAAATGTAAAGGAGAAATCGATTTTTGTTTTAGACATCTTTTTGAATATATCTTGGTTAAATACTAAGTAACCTTGTTTAACTAAGGAGCACAGATTTACCAAACCTTTACTGGAAGGAATCCTGAAAAATCTGTTCCATTGTAAGCTTATAGTTCCCAGTTAGTGGGTAAAGAACTGGAGACCTCATTGCACTCATGGCTTTCACAAATTACAGCAGTCTGAATCGAGCTCAGCTAACGTTTGACTATCTACACACAAATTCGTAAGTATCCTATAGGTGCCACTGAGATCACTGATAACTCGTTGCTTGATATTAATATGGAAATCCTTTTCCCAGAAAATTTTGCATTTTTACTTTTTGGGATGTGTCACTGGATGAGTCTTGAACTCTTTATGGAAGAACTGAGATCAGTGAAATGTTTGTTGCTAATCCAGAAGAATATGATCTTCCTTTATTGGATCAAAATTTATTTGATCAAATGCAAGCTAGCTCCTTGAAGTCAGTATATTGAGTTGTTTCATTCAAGTGTTTGGTAGGAATCCAACAAGTACTGTTCTTTGGATCGCCAAAAGTTGGACTATTCTAGTATCAACTCCTTCTTCTCTTTGGTGACAACAGCCAAAACAGTTGGCTTCTAACAAGTCTTTTCTTTCTAAGAAGGAAAAAAGAAAAAAAAAAGGAATGAAGACGTTTAAATGGCAACTTGTGAGAAGAAATTTTTTCCCCAGAAAACAGTTGGTTTTATTTTTCTGGGAAATTCATCCTCATCCACTGTAGTTTTTTATGCTAAGCAGGAAGTGATCACTTGGTTAAACCCGTGATTTAAATAGCCTTTCCCCAAAATGTATGCAAATCATTGGACACATACTGTGTTCATAGTTCTTGAGTTTGTGAGGAGATTACCATCACTCCACATTGGTCTGGAATGTTTTAGGGTTAATCCTTATGCCCACTCTTTTGGAAGTGATGCAGTGGGGGGTATAACTATTTAGTCCTTTAGTACATTCATTTGGCACTTTTGAGATGAAGGTAAGTATTTTCTCATTTTGGTACCTGGAGAGGTGGCGAGCAGCTAAATGAATGGCCCAGAGTTCAGAAGAACCACCTTCAGGGTTGAGAACATAGACTTCAGTTATCTAGTAATAGTACAATAACTTAGCCTTTTACGGGAAAGAACCACATATTTGTGATAACGTCTGTAATTTTTTTTTTAATCCAAAATATGTTTATTGGGATGGTTTCCCATTCATCTTGATTCTGGGGGCTTTTAGTGCCGCTTCCGTCTGAAGGAGCATTCTTCCGTAAGCCTTGCTTTTCCTCCTGTAGGCTGACAGAGGACAGTAGAGTAGCCGACACACAAAACTACTCTTTGTGCATGGCTAAAGATGGTGGTAATTTTATAGCATCCTGGGCATTTCACGTCCATGAAATAGGAATTGAGGCTCTGCACCAGGTGCTTCGTCTTGTGTTTCCTCTTTTCTGGAGAGGGATGAAGGAGATCCTTTGTGAGAGGCATGATCTTGTGGGGAGGCCATCACTGTTGGAAAGGACGTCTGTAATTTTTTTGTTTGCTGTTTTTCCTATAGAGGAAATCAAAATTTTCTGAGTAGTGAAGCGAGTTGCCAAATGAGAACCTGGTTTTGTTTTGTTTAGGAAGATTCTTACTGAACTAGAGTGTTTAAGTAGGTATTGCAGAGTCACCTAGGTGAATTCTCAAGCTGTGGATAATGAATCTGAAATCCAGCTAGATAAGGTCTCTGATCAAAGGTTATACCCATCTAGCTCATAGTATAGCCAAGGGCAGTATCCTTTAGTATCCTTTTGTGTATTTGAACTGCCACGTTAAGAACAAGTAGTGGAAGGCCACTTAGATGTTCACAGATGCTTGTGTTTGTTAAATTCAGTTGTGAATTTTGGAATGAGGGGCCAAAACACTGATATTCTTGGAAGACCATAACGAGAGTTCAGAAACTAGGTTGTTCCAGCTTCCCCAAAGACTTTATTTGATGATAAAATGATAGTAACAACAGTTAATTGCTTCATGCCAGTCACTTTTAAACATGGTCTAAAGTAATCTTTATAGCAGCCCTACTGGAATAAGGGTTATTCCTATTTTGCATTTGAGGAGACTGAGGCTCAAAGAGATTAAGTTACATGCGAAAGGTTACACAGCTGCTAAGTGGCAGATGTAAGGCACCAAGATTGAAGGCAGTAAGATTTATCTGGCCACATGGTTAGTGCTTTTAACCATTAGGCAAGACCTCCTACTGTAGTCAGTTTTACTTTGTTTCCTTGTCTATACAGCAGAGGGTTTACTTACCACTTTAAAAGTCTTCAATTTTAGTTTATCTCGAACCTTTTATTTGAGGATTCTGGGATATTTCTCTGTATTTCTTTTGCTATTTTATAGTTTGTTAATAGAACAGAGCAAAGGCAAAGAATTGAACCTCAGTTGAGTCACTTGTTTGAAATTGGAGAATTTTCTGGGAATTTGACTTATCGTGTTGAATTGGAACCACTTGCTTGCATAAGCATTTTGAGGGTTGGATGTATCATTTTGGAAGCTCTGGAATTTATTACCTGGATCACACCTTAGAAGTTGTTTACTTCTGAATGTGTCCAGTCCTGCCAGAAGAAAATATGAACCCCCGAACACCTAGATAAGTTTTTGGTTTGTAGCCAATTTCAGGACCTTTCTTTATTGTGACTTGACTGGAAGTTCATTTCTAGAGGAAACAGATTTTTAATTTTCATAAAATGTGACTTGTTAATCGTAATGAAGGTAGATATATCTCCTCTGGGTTAAATGATGCAGTGTTACCTTTGGAGAAGGGAGGACTTGCCTTCTGCTTTATTCTAATTAAAAAAAAAAAAGACCATTTTAGGGTGTCTGACATCTACAATATTGCCATATTGAATTGTGAAAAAGTGACCCTTTATCTCCCATTTAGCAGAGTCCAGGATAGAAATCAGCGTGGTGCAGTAAAAAGAGCATGGGCTTGGGAGCCAGCCAAACTTATGTTTGACTGCTTCCTGGCTGTGCCCTTGGGTAGGTCAACTTATCTGAGCCTCAGTTTCTTCATGTACAAAATGGGGCTAATCTGACAATGTTTATGAGAATTATGTAAAATAATGTTTATAAGGTAATTAGTTCCCATATGGTTCACAGTAAATATTGAATAAATGGTGACAGTTATTTGTTTTATTTATAATATTACCTCATATAAACCAAAAGTTGGTCAGTGTGGTAGCTACTTGCTGTTTGGTGGTAGTCATTAGGCAGATTAATTTTTAGTAAATTCTGGAGCATCTGTTGGAGATGATAAACCCCTGCCTTAAATTAAAAAATTTTTTTTGTGTTAGGTCTACAGTAACTGTTGATGGTTATTCTCTTGATTATATCAGCATTAAGGTTTGAAGCAGGCCTGGGAAATTCTAACATGAAGGTCTTAGGCTAATTTGCTTTAATATTGCATGTTGCTCATATGAAATGATTGAAGTTAGAATTAACTTCAGTCAATGAACTACTAAATGTAGTTTTATGCTGTTACTGCTCTTTGGTGATGGATTTTGTGACTGCTACTAAAATGTTCATGAGTAATCAAGGGCCAGATACCAGATGTAGCGATGGTAGTGATGTTCCTTTGGCATAAGGGGCGTATCTTAAATCACTCTGTATGCAGTATTGCTAAGTGCTCTGATAGAGCAGGGTGCTTAAGTATAAGATGCCTGTTTTCTATGTCTCTTCGTGTCTGCACATTTAATAACTTATTATCTTGGCCATATATTTTTGGGTTGTTTTCTTGGTATGTGAAGTGAATGTAAAGGAACCTTTCATCTCTAGAGACCATATATCTTATAATTTATAATCCTGTTGAAATGTGGGTTCACACTCTGACTATGTTAAAGCCATTAGAATGTAAAATGGTTGCTCTAGAATTTTTATCTTTATTTTCTAGCAGTTAAGGCAATTAACTCTTAACAGCATATCCAAGAATTCAGCAGAAGCTATCACTGTGTGATGGGGTTATGGATAATCTATGGCTTTAAATTCAGGCTGAATATAAATAGACCATTTTCCTTACATAATGAGTAGATTTACACTTGAATTTGTCACTGGAAATGCTGAGCTGCAAAGTTATTTTGATCGTAGCACAAATGGTATAAAAGCCACAATCAGTTGAAAGTGAAAGAGGTTGTTAAAAATCTTTGTCTTTTTCCAGATGGTTGATCTTTCTTGGATCACATGCAAAGAATCTTTAGGTCTGTGAAGAAAATAATTTCCTTTGATACTTATACAGATATCTCTATCTCAACTGCCAGCTAGCAATGAGTACACCTCTTTGAATGTTATTTGAAAAAAAGGGGAGAGCTTACACAGTTGGTACGTTTTTGGTTCTTATGAATTTAAGAGATACTTAGAACTCTGGCTTTAGCATTTGTTAGTAGGATCAGTTATTCACTTGGAGGTTTGGAGAAGAATCCGAGTGTTGTCTCTGACCTTACCAACAGTTGTCACAAAAGGCTCCTTTTATGATGTGTCAGCACACATCACAAAAGCACCCCTTAGCTACATTTTAAAGTATCTGTTAACTTATCTGAAATACGTATTGTGGAACAGCATTGATACTGTGCGGAACAACGAAGACATTTGGAATGTTTTCTTTAGATTCTAAATGTACAAGACACTTTTCTAAGCATTGTGTAGAAAGCACTAAAAACTTAGCCAGAAGTGCTCTTTGTGCTTGCCCTTTTGAGATATTATTGAATTCTAAATGTCTTTAATTTTCATGTGAAACAATCAGAAATATGTATTGGTGAGAAGCAATTGCTGTTTCTGTTTTTGATTTCTTTGCCCTGATGGCAAAGGTATCAGAATTAGTTTTCCAGATTATTGATATTCACCATTGTCACTACCAAAGGCCAGATAATCCCAAAGATTTCTACATACAAATTGTAGTCTCATTCTTACTAAGATTGTACTCTTGTTTTTTTCCAGGAGCTATATTTCTGATATTCCTTGACTTCAAGTACAAATTCTTTTTGAAATGAGAAATATTGCAGTAGAATTTGTTACTTTACATTTTAGCCTTCAAAATCAAAAAGAAAATTTAGGGGGCTTCCCTGGTGGCGCAGTGGTTGAGTCCACCTGCCAATGCAGGGGACACGGGTTCGTGCCCTGGTCCGGGAAGATCCCACATGCGGCAGAGAGGCTGGGCCCGTGAGCCATGGCCGCTGAGCCTGCGCGTCTGGAGCCTGTGCTCCGCAGCGGGAGAGGCCACAACAGTGAGAGGCCCGCGTACCGCAAAAAAAAAAAAAAAAAAAATTAAAAAGAAAATTTAGAGTATAGAAAACTAATTCACTTTATAAGTTTCTTAGTCATTGCTTAGTCAGACAGGAAAATGATTGGTTGAAAGCTTGAAAACAAACATTTACTTTTAACTTATATTACCATCATCAAATCACTTTAATTTTCCAGCTTATTTTCCCTATTTAATTAGTTGAAGTAATCAGAATATTTTTTTGTTTCTTCAATTAATAATTTGAAGAATTTAAGGTGATGATTTTAGAGACAAAATTTTTTTTAATGAGTTTGTCTTTTATTTATTTATTTAAATTAATTTATTTATTTTTGGCTGTGTTGGGTCTTCATTGCTGCCTACAGGCTTTCTCTAGTTGTGGCGAGCTGTGGTTACTCCTGGTTGTGGTGCGCGGGTTTCTCATTGCAGTGGCTTCTCTTGTTGTGGAGCAAGGATTCTGGGCACGTGGGTTTCAGTAGTTGTGGCTTATGGGCTCTAGAGTGCAGGCTCAGTAGTTGTGGCGCATGGGCTTATTTGCTCCGTGACATGTGGCATCTTCCTGGACCAGGGCTTGAACCCGTGTCCCCTGCATTGGCAGGTGGATTCTGTTTTTTTTTAATATTTTAAAAATTATTTTAAAATTTATTTATTTTTTAGCATCTTTATTGGAGTATAATTGCTTTACAGTGGTGTGTTAGTTTCTGCTGTATAACAGAGTGAATCAGCTATACATACACATATATCCCCATATCTCTTCCCTCTTGCGTCTCCCTCCCTCCCACCCTCCCTATCCCACCCCTCTAGGTGGTCACAAAGCACCGAGCTGATCTCCCTGTGCTATGCAGCTGCTTCCCACCAGCTATTGGTTTTACATTTGGTAGTGCATATATGTCTATGCCACTCCCTCAGTTTGTCCCAGCTTACCCTTCCCCCTCCCCGTGTTCTCAAGTCCATTCTCTAGTAGGTCTGTGTCTTTATTCCTGTCCTGCCCCTAGGTTCTTCATGACCTTTTTTTTTTTTTTTTTTAGATTCCATATATATGTGTCAGCATACGGTATTTGTTTTTCTCTTTCTAACTGACTTCACTCTGTATGACAGACTTCAGGTGCATCCACCTCACTACAAATAACTCAGTTTCATTTCTTTTTATGGCTGAGTAATATTCCACCATATATATGTGCCACATCTTCTTTATCCATTCATCTGTCGATGGACACTTAGGTTGCTTCCATGTCCTGGCTGTTGTAAATAGAGCTGCAGTGAACATTGTGGTACATGACTCCTTTTGAATTATGGTTTTCTCAGGGTATATGCCCAGTAGTCGGATTGCTGGGTTGTATGGTAGTGCTATTTTTAGTTTTTAAGGAACCTCCATACTGTTCTCCATAGTGGCTGTATCAATTTACATTCCCACCAACAGTGCAAGAGGGTTCCCTTTTCTCCACACCCTCTCCAGCATTTATTGTTTGTAGATTTTTGGTTGATGGCCATTCTCACTGGTGTGAGGTGATACCTCATTGTAATTTTGATTTGCATTTCTCTAATGATTAATGATGTTGAGCATCCTTTCATGTGTTTGTTGGCAATCTGTATATCTTCTTTGGAGAAATGTCTATGTAGGTCTTCTGCCCAGTTTTGGATTGGGTTGTTTGTTTTTTTGATACTGAGCTGCATGAGCTGCTTGTAA